TATTAGACCAGGCACTGAGTGGCTAACAAACTCTTGTTTAAATATCCTGTAACTGCTCAGTCTTGTGAGTTGCCATGAGTAGGTTCTTCTTGAAAAGTTTCCATGACAAACACTCCTGAGCTGTCAGAAGCCCACTTCCCATGGCTCTGCTTCTGCTCTTTGAAAAGTTACCAAACAGTTGCCCTTAAAATTAGCTGACCAGAATACCACTAACTTTGCAGACTAAAGAATAGTGGAGTGAAGGTAGCATGCATATCCCTGCAGAAGTGGGCTTGTTTAACTGATAAAATAATCTAAGATGTCATAGGCCGACACTGAAATGGCAGCTTCATGGTATCAAATGATACCAACTTTGTTGCTTCCTGAAGCTTTACTGATGGCTGTTTGATGCTGCTTGTTAAATTATCAGTGATTTTGCTATACCTTTGTTGCTGTCTCGGAGGGGCCAGCAGCTGCTGGTACCTAAGCTGTCCCTGGGACAATGGAGAGCTTCCTCTGATTTTGTCTCCCTCACATCTCTTGCAAAGTGGTCTAAAGGCAGCAACCTTCCCTGTCTGAACAGCAGCCACCTGGGGCATGCTGGCAGAGACGAGCTGTGAATGCATGTGTAAGAGGTTTTGTAGCTTCCCCACCAAGGGAACAGGGAGCACTCCCTCCCTGGTGCTATAGCTCTTAGGTGACCACTGATTCCTCGTTATGAGAGCTCGCTCCCCAATTCTTCTGCCTTTAGAGGAGGAAGATCCCAGGGAAGTTAAGGTTGGCCATGCTGGCAGGGATGGGCCTGGGAGCTGAGCAAAGACCAGGAAGTCCCACTTTGAATCTGAAATCTGTTCAGCCCCGGAGGTGCTGGTAACTTCCTGCAGGCTGTGAAAAGGCTGATGTGCACAAGTGGACAGCAGAACACATGGAGAATAAATGTGGATCTCCGTGACTTTGCCTGTATTATCCAGTTTGATACTTGCACAAGTCGATTTTATTCTAGGATTATGTAAATGCACTTTATCTTTTCTAATGTTACAGGATTCACTTTAGCTACTTAAAATTCTAAGCAGCATTTACTAAAGTCAGCTTATGAGCCCAATATCTGAGTACAGCTTCCTACCGCTTTAACACCAAGCAATCCTTTTCTTTCTTCACAGGTATGACGAGGTCCTGTATAGATCTTCTCAGGATCTGCAGCCCAAGCACATCGTCAGCTTCCTCCTCACGCTGAGGTAAGGCGATTGCTGATACTGGCATCTGTCCTTGGTAAGGACAGGTCTCCCTGAGCTGGCTCTGCAGCCTCACATCTGCACTGCTTTGAAGAGTTAAAATAGTGGGAAGATGTAAATTTGTGGGACAGCTGCTCTGGAGCAGGAAAGGTATAAAGTAGGATAACAAATAATACAAGAAATAGTAGAGATCAAGGTTGGAACCAGGAACAGATTTGAGCTGATAATACGCTCTCAAATTTCAACATTTCAGCTAGAAAATTATGTCCAAACCTGTTGTAACCACTGATCTCAGCCTGGGTGTTGAGGTGGACAGAGCATGTTTTCACTTAAGTCATACTGCACACGTGACCTCCATAGGGACCTGTCTCATTTAACAGGGCAGTAAAACACAGCAGTAACTTGCTGGAGGAAGCTGTAGGGCCTGTGTATGGGGAAGGCTTTAACAAGGTAAGGAAAATGATATAAGGAATCCTGCAGCTTGGGAGTGACAGGGCAGGCTCTCAAGGGTCCTTCTGGACCAGTTTTGGGTTTGGTTTTTTTGGCGGGGAAGTTTTTTTTTTTTTATAACGAGCATTAAGTTGTTGATGACGTGCCCTGACAACATGCGGGCTACAGAAAACCATGCCCTCCCTCAGCCAGGTGAAAGGGGCTGCTGGAAATGAGCCTGTTGGCATGCTCCAAGTGTGGCTTTTCCGGTTCCGCTGCTTTCTGTAGCCCACAGCACTGCTCTTGTCAAGAGCCTCTGCTCATTCTCACTGTTTTCCCTTCCAGCCATCTTGCAGCCGTGGCACATAAAACTCTTCCTGTGAAAGGCAGCGCCCCTGATCTAGCCCAGGTATGGCACAGTGTGGCTACGTGCATGGGCATCTCAGAAGAATGATTCAGCAGGGCTTTGCCAGCCCAGCTGTGTAGGCACTGGGTGAACGTGCACCCGCAGGCTGATGAGCCACCAGGCAGGCTGGCCTGTGGGCAGCACCGCTGCGGGGTGGCTGGGGTTGCTGTTCACAGCTGTGCCTTCGGGCCAGGGCTGCTCTCCCCAAAACAGAATGTTCCCTAAGGATGAACTGCTCCAACCCCAGTCAAACCCCTTTCCTTCTCATCACCTTCACTTCTGAACTTTTAAAAGTAAACATTTGAGCGTTTTGCTTGCTGGTTAATTTCTGATGGTTTCCTTTAGTGGTTTTGTGGGAAGATGGGAGAATCCTACACATCCCAGGTTGTCTGTACTGCCTTTCTAAAGCACTGAGGCTGACAACTGGTATCGTGCAGTTCCAAATAGATGCAAATTATTTTATGCTGATCTCCCAGGCAATGTTTGACCCCTTACCTGCTCAGTAAATGATATCCTGAGTATACTGTCTTTTTTTTATTTCCTCTTTTATCTATTTCAAAAGCAGTTATCTATCTGATTTTTGTAGGAAATCCCATTTAAATGTTGAGCTGTGTTGTATGTGGGGGGAAAATCAGTGGAACTGATGGAGCTGCACTCTGTAGTTGAGCTTATATACTACTTTTTTTGCCTTTGAAGACAGATCCCTGCATTCTTGAGAACAACTAAGACAGCCCAAGTCACAAGGAAAATATTTTAGCTCCTTATCTTGCAATAAATTATTTCTCAATGTTCCTTATTTTGTGATAATTTCTAAAGATCTTACACTGTGACAGCTTTAAAGAACTGGGTTTTTTGGAATAAGGTTGACAGAGCCCTTCCCAAACACCCAGCTGTGTAACAGCCAAGACACTGACAAGGAAGAGACACATTTTCCAAGCAGCCCACAGTTGTCTGACAGCCTCTAACCCAGGCACAGTGAGAGGAGGAATTCCAGCAGCATCCTCAGGCTGTAACAGCCTGTGGTGCATGGAAGATTTTCACTTTTTAGTCATTGCTGGCTCTTTTGCAGGCATTTCCTCTGGTCACTCTGCCCTGCGGGCACTAGACTGGGCTGGACACCCCCTTCTAGCTTCCCTTCATCGACAGAAGTGTCCCTCTGACACTGCAATGGGCTGTCAACAGCTGGTGTGAATTCTGCCAGCAGTGGGCTGTTAGTACTCACATTATGCAGGGTGCTGGGATTTGGGACGCACAGGGAGAGAGGATGTGCAGTGTTGTCACCTCTGCCAGGCTGTTCCTAACTGCTGTCCTGAGCCTTACGTCCCCTGTGGTAGCAGTGCCGTGAGCTGATGGCTTTTCTTGTTTCTTCCAGGCAAGGCTCTGTCTCTTTCAAGCCACACGCTTGGTTCTCGCCAGCGGAATGAAACTTCTTGGCATTACACCTGTAACTCACATGTAATGAAGCTGTGTGCAATGTGAAGCCACATCTCTAAGTAAAAAGATTTTTTTTTCAAGACAATACAAATACTCTCCTGTGAGTCATTGCTAACACAGTCTGGAATTTTTCTGTTTGCTCTTGGAGGGCTCTATGCTTCATCACACCAACTGCAGAGGAGCTTGTGTGGCACAGCCATTTGGGGGAGGCCAGGGTTGCCACAATCACTTCCTCCCAGGCACCTGGCAGGAGCAGTGCATTTAAGGCACTTGTCTACCTGGTACTTCCCATAAAAGAGAACACCTCTGTATTTACTTTTGTAAATCTAACATCCTTTTGGTAGAGGAAGTGGTGCTGCCCTAAGCAATCAAAGTTCTCCCCTTCTGCGGTTGCCACTGTCACAACTCACAGAGCAGCTGTAGCTGCTATACCGTTAGCCCTGAGTACACAAACTGAGTGAGTCACACCATGCCAGAGAGGTTTTTGTCACATCCTGCTCCTCACCCATTCCCCTGCCATGCCGCCCTTTGCTGCCCAGCCAGAGGAACAGGAACCGCGCTGCTCCCTCAGCACCGTGCACAGGATCAGACGTGGCAGGTGCTGCCCAGCACCCCTGAGCCATCGCGCTGCTGGAGAGAGGTGGAGCATCATGGGTGAGGTGGCTGCTTCAGCCTCTGAAGTGCCCAACCATACCCGCCAGCACCAAAGCCCTGACTCACCAGAGCAGCACTGCGGTGACAGGTGACACGCTGGTGAAATGCACAGAGCAGCTGGTGAAAGGCAGAGCGGAGCATCCTCTCCCACTGGAGCAGGATTTAAGCATTTTTTGTTACTGCTGTGTTTAACATGCCCCACCTTCAAGTAAAACCCAGCTGGTTAACTCACGCCTGAAGGAATTTAACCAGGAGATAAGCTTGTTTACATTCAAAGTGGAGTCAAAAATGTGACCGAGTTGCCTAAACCACCAAAGTCAGTTTTCCCTCAATGCAGAATTGCAGTTTCTACACGGGTTGAACAGTGAGGCCTCAGGAAAGGAGGGAGGAGGTTGACATTATACAGTTGGCACCTGTAAATTAATTCAAGGCCTAACACATTACAAGAACTCTTTTCAAGCATCACTCTCTTACACACAAAAAGTTCTAGAGAGAAAAATCTTCTAGTCTGACACTTGGAGTTGAGTCATTCAGACTTAAGCCAGAGACAAGAACACACGTGAACCCTCCCCCGTACAACTGGGGTTTCACAGAACATGCAGAACAGAACAGAAGATCCCTCTGCCAGCTACAGCAGTATCAAAAGCATTTGAAAATTGAAAGAAAATCTGCAACTTAAGAGGAACACCCGTCTTGCATTCTGACTTTTTAAACCAAAGAGCAAGCACTGCTCCTAATCACTTCCAGGTAAGTGATGTCTGAAGCATGGGTGCTCCTGGTGGAGCTGTGTCAGGACACACGAGACTTAATTGCATGAAGGGGGGGAAACAGGTAATTAATTGTAAAAACACCAGAGAAGTACTCTGTTCATCTCATGCGCCACCTAGAAGAGAAACTTTTCCTGTCATTAATCAAACTGCAATTGCTGCTTAGTTTAAGAGACAGTGCTGGCAATAATTGCTCTTTTTAATATATTTTTATGAAGCTTTTGGGCATTTCTGCCCTCAAAGGGCAAGACAGTTTATCAAATACACAAAGAACCCATTTCCCTCCATTATATACATTATATACAAATAAGTGTTCAACTCCTTCCTTCAGTGTTCCTTGTAAATGGGATTCTTCGCTGTCCAATGTGAATGAAAAATACCTTCCTGAAAATGCCTGTCCAGCTCTGCAGCCGTAACGTAGCCTCAGCGTCAGCCACTGGAAACCTCACACGTGAAACAGAACTAACTTCTGCCTTTAGTCTGTCCCGCTTCAACTGTTTTTGTGACTAGCTTAAGGCTGATATTTAAAAAATGCAGGGTTTTTTTTAAAGTCCATTTTTTTGGACAGCATCACACCGTAGCAAGTCTCTCTTTTGAGCTCTTAGTCTCTGCTGGCTGGATCTTTGTGGTGTCTTGTCGAGGTAATCCGTAGAGGTAAATAGAAATACACACCAGGAGAGCACCCAGGGAGAAGGTAACAGCTGAAAGGAGACAAAAGTTGTTTATTTAAACATCTCCATGTAAGAAGAAACCTTCATAAGTCTAAGCTGTATCAGTTATGATGATAGCCAAAGGACAGCATTAAAATCACTCAAAACTAAACAGGACACCAAGCTGTAAATAATTCACAGAAGTGAAGATTACCCTCTGTCACTGAGAACTCCTGAGTGTTCACAACCCCCACACCATTTCAGTCAGTCTCATATCAGCAAGGACACAGTGATGGACAGAAAAGCAAGTGTGAGACATCTCCTGTAGTGCCAGATGCCCTCTGACAGGCCTACTTCACAATAAACATGATGACAGACACAGTGGATGGGACACAGGAGCCTGTGATAACACACTTTGTTTGCCTTCTCACTCCAGACAGGAATAAGAAACACTGTTAATGAGGCTTCACCAGTCCAGGATTGATTTGTGGCAAGCATCAGGAAAACGTTCTGCCCAAGTGAGTTTTTAAACTTGTGTTTTTCAGCACTTGATTTAAGGTGCTCTTTTCAGCCAAACACTGATGATTTTCTCCTTATGCAAATTTTCCTTAAGTTTCATCTCTCAAATGCCACACCAGAAAGCTGCTTTTTCCACCACCACTCCATACCATCTTTGGATTACGGTAGGAAAGTAAAAAATACCCAAAACTAAACAGTACAGGAGCTACTGGGTACAGTATCAGACACAGAATTATCAGGGAGAAAATCCTTTGGAGTTGCAGAACGGCCCAAAGCAATCTGCTGTTTCCTCTCAAAAATATTCCCATCAGTTGTGACCCTGGCTGCTGCTGACTGGCTCTTGTGTGGTGCTGGCCGCAGGAAACGGGGAAGGTAAAAGTTAACACAGTAGCAGGTGTAACTTAACGGGGATGTGGCAAAGCCCTTGCGGAAAAAGCTGAGGAATTAATTTGGCACTGGCTGCACTAAAACCAACAAGAAATGAGAACCTATCAGCAGCAGTCTCAGGAAAACAGGTACACCACACACTTAAACTGCATCAGAAAGTGATTCATGACTAAAGCTGGGAAACAGGCGAGTATAGTCAAAAAACCAGCAGAAAGGCACTTACTTATCTGGAGGCCAAAGAGGACGACTGATGCCACAGTGGAAAGCACGATGGCTGCCGCTGCGGAGAAGCCTTTCATAATGTTGTCTGTGTACTTAACAACGACCGAGGTGTAGAGGCCACCGACGCTGGCGAGAACTGGAAAGCAGATGATGTGTTTCTGTTAGTAAAGGTGCAGGAGGTTACTCTTGAAATGATGTATTTAACTCCACTCCTCGTATGGGCTGCATCCCCCTGATCGGTGATTTAAGGCCACATTCAGCAAAACGGGATGTTTCCACAGCCTCTCACAAATTAGATACGACTGATTTAAAGTTGATCTACTCGCTACCGGGTCACTTAGACTGCTGTTTCAGCACAATTTTAAATTGAACAAGTGAGTAATTTGCAAGGTAAAGATACTTTAAAAAAAAACCACAACTCAAAACGCAGTAAAGAACAGTGGGTCAGACTGAATTTGTAGCTTTGTGCAATCAGGTATCATAGTAAAAAAAAAAAAACAACAAACAACAAACCAATGTAACACTTACAGATGGAAGTAAACATACTTACAGATGACAAACCAGACGTAGTACGTATAGCCATAGAAAAACCCTTTTTCAAGAACCTGGGCTCCGTCCGACATGTACACACCAAACAGAGTCACCACAATCCCCGATAAGTACATCTGAATATTCCTCACCCACAAGGAAGTATCTGAACTTTTTAAGACCTTCTCAAAATAAACTCCTAAAAGAAAAAAGAAAAAGGTTTCAGTGAGATGAAGCGTCATCTTTAATGGTTCATGGTTCACAGTGTTTTAAAGCCAGACAAGACTACCAGAATCATTTTGTCCTACAGACTGGTACATTTCACAGAAGTTCCCAATGCAGGAGACCCCAAAACTCATCCTGCTACTGTGTGTCTTCCAGGACAGGGTGACTTTAATGGGCACATAACATCCAAGATAGATTCTGTTTCTCTTTACAGTTGTTTTAACAATGAACCTCATCGACAACTGAAACTTGTTCTCCTCACTTCTGTTCGATTTGCCAGGCTCCTGTCCAGCAGAGTTTCTTCTGTACAAGTCTACACCAGAAAAATAAAACACATTTCACAAGGCACCTGGTATTTTATCCCCAGGACAGCATTTATGTATTTTAGTATGATACAGAACTTTTTTTTTTGCTCCATTGTAATACTCAGCAGTAAAAAATTCAAAACGGGTGGGACTGTATTACTTCAGTACTGAGAGTGAGAAATCCTGGGGAGCCTTGTGCGTGCAGAGCGGCGACGTTCTGAAACCACAGCTTCAAGGGATGTCAAGAGCAGATCCAAACCGATGCCTTCTGCCAACCAAAGCTACAGACTGGTTTTGAGGAAATGGAATTCATTGTAATCTAAAGCTTTTGTTCACAGCGCCACGCTGATGAGCGTTACGTTTATGCTCTGCATTACTGAAATCCCCCAAATGCGTTGTCGTTATTCTACTCAGGAGGTGTAGAGCAGACTAAAAGGTGGCATTTGACAAGGCCATCGCTAGCTGCCTTTCCAACCTCTGCTCCCATACCAGGACTTTGCTGATCTCTGGAATTTCCTCCACGTTTCAAAACACAGACAACAGTTTGCAGGACTCGGATCTTCTCAACCACTACAACCTCCTGGTGCAAGTCCTACTGCCTAAATGCTTATTGCCGATTAATGTCACCCAAAACCTTTCATACAATACAAGAAAAGGACATGGAAAGATGGCACCGAGCAAAGAGCTGTGGGTGGGAAGCCCTAGGCACACACTCCTCCTCCTGAAACCACAGAGTTAGCTTCAAGGAAAGCCTTGCTACTCTTTTGTTCATGAAAAATGCATTTTATAATTTAATATAGACTTGTATTTCAGAGGTTCTAGTAATAATATCATGTTTCCTCGTTTGTTTTTATCTCGTACGAATATACACTTTTAAATACTAAACAAAAACTCCAACAAAAAAACCAGTCTTGTTGACAACTGCAGTGCTTAAAAGAACCCTCAGTTATTGATCTCAAGCTTTCTGCCTGCTGAGAAGACCCACAGCGCACAACCAGATACAATCAATGTACCAGAAATCTGGCTTGAGTATGAAGCATACTTGTAAACTTTACAGCAAAACAAGTAAGCCAATGATTTTATGCTTTCAGATTCCCAAAAATGCATAAAAATCACTCCACTAGGCAGGATGAAGGAAACAATGGGGGCTATTTAGGGGAAATTATTCTTCAGTACTGTTTCAAGCCATTATACATTTATCCAATACTTTTATAAGCATTGTTGGGCCCCCAGATACTTGGAAATTATCACAGGATCAGCAGTTTGAAAAAAACCCAACACCTTTTTCCAACTCTAAGGCGCAAAAACACTTAAATTTTTTTTACTTTGCTGCAATAATATAAAACACTTAACATGGCCAGTCCAGAAGGTTTAATGCCAAACCTTCCTCATGTGGGTGGGGGAAGGAAGAAGAGGAAAGGAGTTTGAATAGGATTTATGTTTTCAACATGTCAAGGCCCAAGGGCACTAGGAGATTCATGGATGAAATACCCTGTCCTCCCAGTTGCCTCAGAGCTACAGCTGCCAGTGAGGAAACACCCAAGCTGCAATCCTTGCGCTGGAGAAGAAAGCCGTGTGTGTCTGAATCCTTTAGAGCTGCCCACATCCGCCCTTTCATGGTCTGAATTTGCAGACCTTTCAAAGCACAGCTCTCTCCCCATGTTATCAGAGAAAGCTGGAGAGCTTTAGGAGACTCTGAAGGCTTCACTGTAAATGCTGTATTTTGTCTGATGGCTTGGGACCATCTACTGAAATGGGTAGATTTATAATCTCCCAGGAAAGCTCGCTGAGCTCGTCACAGTCTTATTTAGTATTTCTGCTTCAAAGTGCCCATTTCACTGAAAAGACACCAAACAAGCATGACATCCTCCTTCTTTCCCCCCTGCCAGCCAGGATGTTTTCCAAGAGCAACAACCACATTTGCAGAGCTCAGGATTGTTCTTGCAGGACTGTATGGTACTAGAGCTGGGTGATAACACCTTGTTTTCTTACAGAGCGAGGGGGAAGAACTCCAGACAGGAAAATACGCCCCTGTAAGCCAATTTTCAAATTAAGTAGCAATTTACATTTCCTTATTTCTTAGCACCAGCTCACTTGTCCTGGAGTTCTGGTCTCCTTCAGCAGAAGGCAGAAGCCAAACTACTCTGAAGGAAAATGCCTTTTGTAAAAGAAAAACCCCCAAAATCAACAAAACAAGCAAGCCAGCCAACCCACAATCAAAAATCCTTCATGGAGTTTATCAAGACTTCCTGCTGCTTATCTTCCTCTCTGCCTTATTGATGCTCCCTCTGCACCTCAGTTTTTCCACCTACAGGACTACAGCAATGTGTATTTGGGGCTCAGCTAGTGAAGGAACTGAGTGAGGAGCTCCGTTCCCCTTATAAAAAATGCAAGTATTTCCTGTGATCACCGTAAGGGAGCTGATCACTGTAAAGCCAACTTTGTAAAACTGAGGTACATTAATTAATTGTACTGAGTGAGTCGTTATGGATGCTGCCCACAGTATTATTCTAAGCATCTGAAAGACACTTCCATTGGCAAATCAGCCTGCAAAGCTGCATCACGTAAAACCAATAGTATCTGCTCCTAGTCATTTGCTTGACAACTGGAGTCATCAAGTCATAAACCTGTCACAGTTACTGCAAGCAGAAGGTAATTATGGGCAGAGGGGATAAAGTCCTCTTTTATCTTAGAATCAGTGCAGACAGTTAACTAATGTCGAATGTTCTGTTTTAAACATCAGGAGTTCTCCAGCTCTTTGATGTGACCCGTGTACAGAAATTATACTATACCTGCAAATCCTGAACACAACACAGCAACAGCAATCGCTCCAAACCCTAGCCATGGATTCTGCTCCACCTGCAACATCAACCGTTATTTTAAAAAGGATGCAGCACTTCAGTAATTTACCATAACTCCAGACCTACTTTGTTAGGCATAGCAAAATTATTAGCATATCATTACAGCAGAAAATGTACTTGCTTAGCTAGAGCTGCCTTTCAGCACAGCTCAATGTAGCTGTGTGGTGATTCACTTTCTGTGTGTGCTCCCATCAAGCCGTGCAGTGCTCGGAGGCAACGGCTGCTTGGCTGTGCCCAATCTTCCCAGCCCCACCACCTGCCTTTCCCTAGCACTGATGCCTCTGACCAGCAGCAAAGACCTAAGAAACAGAGGATGCTTGTTTCTTCCTAGAACGGGATTAGGTCAGCGTCTCTGCAGGGTGTGTTTAAATGACGTACCCACGAGGCATTGGAATTTCTCTCCTAATTCCACCAAGGGCTTCAATTCCAAGTCCTCTGCTCCAACTACAATGATACCAGAGCCAACTGCTGGAAACGCTGTATTACTCAGATGCTCCTATGACGGTGCGCTAGACCGGTTATGATGGCCGTGGTAATTTATACTAATTGTAGCAATCAGGTGCCTTTCCAACAGGTGAGACTGGAGTAATAACACAAGCCTGCCCGAACTGGTACACAGTAAATGTGAATGATCAAACTAGTGCTTGTGTTGTAGATGAAGCAGCTGCAAATAGGGATAGGTACTGCTGTGTGAAATGTAAGAGATCTTACCTTAATCCCAGCTGCTGTGAAGTGAAATACAAAGTATAATGCAGTTTATTCTTCGTTGTGAAGTGGCAAAATGTAAACTGTTACCTGTACTTTCGTAGCCTGCGCAGGCTTCCACTGAACAAGGGTAACGCCACCGCACAGCATGAAGACAGAGAACCACTGCAGCTCAGCATCAGGACTGTACATAAAGCTGTACAAGGGATCTTCAGCTGGTATGTCACCTAAAGATGGGAACATCACACAGAGGATGTGGTTTTGTAAACTCCGCCAAAACCAGGAAAATAAAATAGAAAATTCTCCTACAGAGTGACAAATAAAATTCTCTATTAATTGATTTCCTACAGATACTTGAGTTTTTGTAACCATTGCCAATTACAGCAATGTGAATTTGAAGTGACTCTAGCACTGAGCAGGTCAGCTCAGAAAACCAGAGCTCTACAACAGAGTGCATGCTCTCAATAAAAGTCAAGTGATGCTTTGTTATAACACCAAGGCTGAAGGCAGCACTGTGTGCTAGGCAGACAGATACCTACCACCCATGCTTCATGAAACAGCAAAAGGAAATGTATTTACAGATCAGTTACAAAAACATGTATTACCTGGTAGACTGCCGCATCCAAGTTGCTAAGAGCCACAAACGCCATATTGTTTTGAAGAGCATACACCAAAGATGGAACACTTAGTTTTAGCAATTCTGTAGGACTTCCGAATACATTTTCTTTTAAAGATGTTATTAGCCTTGCCAGACTTCCAGTTTCTCTGCAAAATGAAATATTAATATTACTGAAGGCTCTCTTAAACTGGTATTTGAAAACAGAAAGCAAATCCATGAATCCTTTGGGAAGGCTCAAAGTTTGTTCTCAACAATCAGTTGTACCTTCCGCTCATTAAAGAAAAATTAACTGGGGAAAAACAGTGAGGCTATCAACAAGTCGAAACTGCTGAAGGTAAAGACGACATCCTGGGGTCAGGAGGTTACATGTATTAATGTGCAATAAATTAAACAACAACCACAAACACTGCAAACAGTGGAACAAGTCACTGAGCACACCGGCAGTGGGACAGAAGCCTGTCATGTCCCTCCGCCCTGGTCTTTTTTGCTATTAATATTTGCATGTGATGTCAAATGATTTTCCAGATCCCCTTGAAACTGGGCCTCATAGTACATCCAAAAAAAGACCATACCCTTGCACACTACTGAGCTGGAAACACCGCTCACTCCTCAGCCAGCCCTTGGCTCCTCTTCTCATTGCTTCTGTGAGAGATGCTGGACCAGCACCCAGGAGGGGTCTGGCAGGGCGGTGGTGGCTCCCCATTGCCTTGCATCTTCACATGTCTCCATCGTGTAATCACAGCGTGAGCAAGAGCAGGCAATGGGGAAGAACGTGTTGCTTCTTGCTGCTGTCCCCATTTGTGGTTTGCTCCCCAGCTTATTAAAGCTGACCTCTGCCTTGCTGGCTCTCCCTTATCACTTGTACATCAACCTGACATTTCTCGTGTACTCGTTGCTGCTACTCAAGTCCTGCAGTCCCCTTCCCAGCTCTCCTCAAGTCCCATGTTTCCCCTTTCCATTCTTCTCTCACTTGGCCACTGACAATTACCAACATCCAAAAATCACTCCTGTCCCCTCCCCACAGGTCTCTCAACTTGCATCCTGTATTGCTCTTGAATTTAACACTGCTTTTGTTTCCATTGCACACACATCAACAAATGGCTGACATCCTCCTCAGTGCTCCTGGAGCCCATTTCCCCACATTTCACCCACGTTCCAACTTCTTTCTTTCTCACAAGCATACATCACCTACCTGCCCCAAACTCTTATTAGCAATTACCACAATTAGAGATCTCTCTATGCCCCAGGCGCCTTCATTAACCACCTTGTTCCTGCATATTTTCCATTCCTGATCAACCCCTGACTCTGTGCTCCAGGTTCTTAAGCTTTCCCTCTTCAAAGATTTATGCACTATATCCTCTTCTGACCCTTCCATCCAAGTTTCTCTCCTCCCTGCCTGGCACCAAGCATTTACCTCCTTTTCTCCTGTTTTTGCGGGTTTATTGAAGTGAGAGCCGTCTTTACACAGGCAGCTGCAAAGGATTCTTTTTGTCATTCTCCCATAACAGAGAGCACACCCAAAAAAACAGTCAGGGGCAGTACAGTCACCAAACAGAGGTGAGCATGGTTTTCCACGCTCTGGTACAAGTGAGGTCACAAGCAACGCTCTTTCCTGATTTAAAGGGATATTTTGCTTGCAACAGACTTGGTGACACCAAGCATGTCACATAGGTGCCTTTTGCAAGACATATCTGGCCACAAGGGACAACCACTGGCATGAAAATCTACAGACAAGTAGCACTTAAAGCAAAGTTTGCAATACAAGGAAGGGGAAGAGTTCATGTTACAACTCCCCACGGTTATTTGCACAGAACTGCATAAAATGTTATGACTCACTGACATTATAGGCAAAACTGTTGGTTTACTTCTTCCTCAATGTATTTATTATATTGCCCAGCACTGGGAGGTAAGATGTACAAGGAAACCTAGAGTTCCTGGTAATACCCAAGTACAGCTGGACTAGAGTGCTTCTATCCCAAATGTCTAACTGCAAATAAAATATAATCAGCACAGGTACAGTTCCACTCTGTGAGAATAAGAAGCCAAAAAATACCACACAGTAATGGCTTCTTCCATTTGTCGATACTGAAGTGGGCTATCAAACAAGAAAATAATATTGAAACCATACCTGCTTCTGTTTTAGACCATGCTCAGTAAGTAGCTGACCACACATTTAAAGTCAAACCACAGTAGTTTCTGTCTACTTTGACTTCTGGCATGGAATTTCAGCAATGAAGAATAACAAATGGCCAGTAAGCAACAGTTCATCGTTGCTGTGGCTGTGCTTTCTGAAGCACACACTTATGGAGAATCTCTAACTGTAAGTTGAATTCAGTACAAAGATAAAGTAGAGACAGATATAAATCTGCACAAAAAAAGAATTTTAACAAGCCTCAGTATACAGCTGATAATACAGAATAGGGAGCCCAAAGATGTACACTGCAAAATCAAATAAGAAAACAAAAAATTATCTAGCTTGAATACAGCATTCTTGATGTTGACCTAGAGTTGACTTTAAAAATATATTCTGTTTTCTTCATAGGTCTGAATAGGTGAGAGATACTAAAAACAATCAGTTCTGCAACAGAAAAACACATTTGTTAGAAAAGCTGAAATTCAAACTAGATTTTGCAAATCAGCTCCGCTTTTCTTCCTCCATTGCCAAGAAATTATGTACTCTAAGAATGCAGACAATGTCATTACCAGATGCTGAACTGGACTTTAAATAAATATAAGTTGAGAGCACAGTTGAGTAAACAATTAACACAATTTAAACGATCATAAACTTCTCTTCTGAATGACAATCTGTTGGCACTCATCCATTCAGTGTGCCTGCCAGGAGAAACTCTAAAAGTAAACACAGTGAAGGCACAGCATAAGAACGAGTAAGAAACCAAATTCCGCAGGCGGAACAATGCGAGACTCATACTCCGGTATCCTGCACGCTGCAGCCATCAATGCCAGCTGCTGCACCAAGAAACAGTACCCACCCAAATGTATCCTGCTGCACAGAAAAATGAGACTGTATTCCGTCTTCTTACTGGTTATTAAACTACAAAGGCACCTTGCCTTGGGTGAGACAAACTGATTAGGACTTGAAAACTGGAGGAGGCTCTAAAGGAGACACTGAAAACAATGCTGGAATTTACGCTGTTCAGTGTACTCCTAAGTGATCCAAAATGGGACATTACCAGGAAACTGGCAACTTTTCTGATTATACTCAATTATACATGATATCCAAAAGGAAACTTTCAGTAGTTGGTGAAGGGTGTCTCACTACACTAGGCAGAATTCATTACATCATTGCAACCTGAGAAACAGCTCAGTTACCTGGACAGCAAAGGCAGGCATCAAGATCCACCAAGAAGAGGTGAGCGTGGCCTGATGAACAGTGTCTGCTGCTGCCCAGCTCTATCTCAGCTATGGAGGAAAAAAACCACTAGCTGGCCAGATCAGAATAGATATCATAACCTTCAAACAGCTCAGCAAACCACATTCATCCCATTTTGACTGGCAAATAAAACTCATCTGTCAATAAATGAGGTAGAATCATAGGAAATGACAACCCCAAAACACAGCAACTACCTCTAAACCAGGTATGGGCATGTGGGAAAAAGATGTGAGTAGCTCTCCAACAGTGCCAGCTCAACACTCAGCTGTGTTCAGAGAAATGAGCCAAATGTTAGGAAAGGAACCCTAACACCACGGCACGGTCACATCCCAAATGCCACATGCAGCACTGGATCCTGTCTCAGAAGGGATGCAGCAACACTGGAAATGCTGCAGAGATAAGTACTAGGATGGTCACAGAAAAATTAGACTAGGACTCCCAGCCTGGAAAATAAATGAGTGATGAAAACACAACACAGATCTGTAGAGACAGGAAAATAAAAATTAAGGGGGAAAGATTATTTATGAAGTCTGTCAACACAAGAAGACAGAATCCAGCGAAATGGCTAAGGAAAGTGTTTTAATAAAAAGTACTTTTTCCATGTACTGTGTAATTATATTGCAGAA